AAATGGCATTGGTCGAGAGCTGAACCATAGAATAGTGGAATTCCAGCTGCAAGATCTTGAACTGTTTCGCAGTCCTTCCTGTACCCTGACTTGCCACTTTTTGATTCCCATTTAAACTAATCTCTTAATGACCACCTCTAGGTAGAAAATACGATTCTCAAAAGCACCCCAAAAACGATCGCGCCGCCTTTTCGACACGGAACTGGAAAGCTCCTAGTAGCAAGCAAACCTCTTTACTCGGTGGTTGCGCAACAAGTTAGCGACGAAAGCAAGATGTATATCGCGTGTCTAAATTGCTTCACATGAATGAACTTGACTTGAAAAAAGTTTCGAAAATGTCACGAAATTTTGGCGACAAACCACACTCTACGATAATAGCCATTCCTCCACAACCCTGACATTTACATGTCCAAGCTCCTGCGAAACCCAAACCAGGATCCCAAACCCAAATTCGTTTTCTATTGAGCTGAAATCAGCAAAAACTTCATGTAAAATAACGAACCTTCTGCATTTTGAGAAAAAGAAGTCATTATCATTTTTATCGTTTTGTTGAAGTAATTGTGCGATAGAACCTGAAGTATTTCTAGTGAAAAACAACATGACACGAGGGTCAGTCAGTCGGAGGCTCATGCAGTAATAGCCACCATTTTTGCTCACCACTACACTGAAACTTCTTCTCAGAATCCTAATATATGATAAGTCTCGCGGTTCTTTCAAAACCGCAGAATCTCCCCAGCGAAATCTGTAGTAAATTCCGGTGAAATCAACACAGAACTCTAACGGAAAAAATGTTCACCTCCAATCCAGAACCCACTTCCTGTACTTTCACTTCTCGCAGATTTCTCCGATAGGATCTGAAAGAATATCCAAGGAAACATAACGTTTGAGCCACAACAATTAAGGGCTTTAGTACATCCCGTCACCCTTCTCTTCTTATTGAATATTCACGCATGCCAGGGGAATAAAAGCATTAGCGTCTAAGCATTGATTGCTCAAACGCTCGAGGAAAACCACGGTTAATTCTATGGTTTGCAATCTTAATTTAATGGAGTTCCTCATAATTACTACTTCCGTTTCCTGGGTGGCAAAAAAAAATATAAACCTGGTTTGATCGTTTTTGCTATTGTTCAGACGGCAGTAAATGGAGTAAAAGTCCAACAGGATAGCTTCTTAGCTAAAATATTCCCTACGAACCTCTCAGAAAATATATTTTTGGCGCCGTCGCCTGTGTCGCGGGCACCCCTACTTCCAGGCTGAGCGGATGTTGTGATGTCATATATGAAGTCAAACTTCATCACGGTAAAGCTCTAAGCAAACCTCGGTGATCTATGATATCTGGCGACGCGCACTGGAGTAGACGCCACGCAGTTTTCAGTCTAAGATGTGATATTGTATCCAGGACAATCATACTATTACTGGAAACGAATTCTCAGCCAAATTTGCCCGCAAAGTGGTCTAGTTCTGGGATGACCGGGATAGGAATAGTTCGCAACGGTGCCGGAAAAATTCATTAAGCGAACACTTTCCAAGAAAGATGGTGGTTTGGGGAGTTTTTCGGTCGAACGACTTTATGATGAGAAACAATATCTGAGCCAACTGTCCAACATTTCCAGCGCATGTACAGGGAGGGACCACTGAGTTGACAGCGCGTCAGAGGCAGTTCTGGTCTGAATCGTCTCAACCTCAATTTTGCGACGCGAATGGTCCCAACTGGTGTTTTTTTGCTTCACAGTTTTCCCTATTCCTATCTGGCCTTTTCTTGCTCTTAAGTTTACTTCTAACCACCACCACTACCAAAGTACTAAAAGGAGCAGCCGAGTGGATTTAGGTTTGAGGTGTTTGATGGCGATCGATATTTGTCAAATATCCAGGCACCTGAGCGCCAAGGAATGCCATAGTCGGCTTTTTCATGGACGCGAGCGTAGTCCTGCTGCGTGAACATCCCAGTAGGGTTATTTTGTTCCTGTCGGGCCTTAACTTCCGCCAATACTTGGTCGTTTTGCGTTAACTTTTACGTTTTCTTGAATGAAAGCAGAGATGTCTTCTCTACGACGTAAAAACTCCCCAAACCACCATCTTTCTTGGGAAAGTGTTCGCTTAATGAATTTTTCGGCACCGTTGAACTATTCCTATCCCGGTCATCCCAGAACTAGACCACTTTGGGGCAAATTTGGCTGAGAATTCGTTTCCAGTAATAGTATGATTTCCTGGATACAATATCACATCTTAGACTGAAAACTGCGTGGCGTCTACTCCAGTGGCGCGTCGCCAAGATATCCTAGATCACCGAGTTTGCTTAGAGCTTTACCGTGATGAAGTTTGACTTCATAAATATGACATCACAACATCCGCTCAGCCTGGAAGTAGGGGTGCCCGCGACACAGGCGACGGCGCCAAAATATATTTTCTGAGAGGTTCGTAGGGAATATTTAGCTAAGAAGCTATCCTGTTGGACTTTACTCCATTTACTGCCGGCTGAACAATAGCAAAACGATCAAACCAGGTTTTATTTTTTTTTGCACCCAGGAACGAAGTAGTAATTATGAGGAACTCCATTAAATAAGACTTGCAAACCTAGGAATTAACCGTGGTTTTCCTCGAGCAGTTTTGAGCAATCAATGCTTAGACGCTAATGCTTTTTATTCACCCTGCATGGTGAATATTCAATAAGAAGAGAAGGGTGACGGGATGCTACTAAAGCCCTTAATTGTGTGGCTCAAACGGTTATGTTTCTTGGATATTCTTTCAGATCCTATCGGAGAAATCTGCGAGAAGTGAAGTACAGGAAGTGGGTTCTGGATTGGAGGTGAACATTTTTTCCGTTAGAGTTCTTGTTGATTTCACCGGAATTTACTACAGATTTCGCTGTGAGATTCTGCGGTTTTGAAGAACCGCGAGCTTATCATATATTAGGATTCTTGAGAAGAAGCTTCAGTGTAGTGTGAGCAAAATGGGTGGGATTACTGCATGAGCCTCCGACTGTGACCCTCGTGCATGTTGTTTTTCACTAGAAATTACTTCAGGTTCTATCGCACAATTCTTCAACAAACGATAAAAATGATAATGACTCTTTTTCTCAAAATGAGAAGGTCGTTTTTACATGAAGTTTTTGCTGATTTCAGCTCAATAGAAAACGATTTTGGGTTTGGGATCCTGGTTTGGGTTTCGCAGGAGCTTGGACATGTAATATGTCAGGGTTGTGGAAGAATGACTATAGCGTAGAGTGTGGTTGTCGCAAAATTTCGTGACATTTTCGAACTTTTTTTCAAGTCAAGTTCATTCCAATGTGAAGCAATTTAGACCAGCGATATACATCTTGCTTTCGTCGCTAACTTGTTGCCAACCACCGAGTAAAGAGGTTTGCTTGCTACTAGGAGCTTTCCAGTTCCGTGTCGAAAAGGCGGCCGGATCGTTTTTGGGGTGCTTTTGAGAATCGTATTTTCTACCTAGAAGGTGGTCATTAAGAGATTAGTTTAAATGGGAATCAAAAAGTGCCAAGTCAGGGGTACAGGAAGACTGCGAAACAGTTCAAGATCTTGCAGCTGGAATTCCACTTCTATGGTTCAAGCTCTCGACCAATGCCATTTTTGAAACGTGTGACCCTGAGCTGTTGCGGCGTAGTCAAACATTGCTGGGACCAAGTGATGGGGATCTAAATCCTCCCTTCGCATTTAGTTTCAGGAGGACTCGCTGGTCGCCACATTGAGAGGAAGGAACTCCCTGCGGTAAACCCATCAACTGTTCATAACACTCACGGTATCACCTTCCTAAGGACCGGTTCTGCTCTTCCTGGAGAATCTGGCAGCTGGCCTGGAAGGGGAAGGGCATGCCGGTGTTGACTACAACTTCTGTCCTACTCCCGCCACACAGACTGATTGAACAAGGGCTGTGGCTGGATAAGGAGTAGATATCTCTGGTTCCAGGATCACCAGAGACATCTACTCCTAATCCAGCCACAGTCCTTGTTCAATCAGTCTGTGTGGCGGGAGTAGGACAGAAGTTGTCAATACCGACATGCACTTCCCCTTGAGTATCGGACAACTCATGAGAAAACATCAGACCGAACTTCAATGCTTTTTCGAGGGATGGAGAATCTCTGTCATTCGTGCCTGTGGGACAGTCAAGTGTAAAAACTAGATAGCATTTCGGTTCGTAACAATCGCTTCTGAGCAAGAGACGCAGTAGTAATCTAAGGCAAATAGCCTCTCTGGACGAGGCTTGGAAGTGATCGGGCATTTCAATGCCATAGTATGGAAGATAAATAGCATCAGGACCTAACTCAGAGCAAATTCCGCGTGTGGCTCTAACCAGGTTGCGACTTGTAGAAATTTATGAAATTCATCTACCGTTTTGGATGTGACAAGATTGCGAAGGACGGTAAAGCAACTGTGAGATGCCCACTCGACACACTTCCCACAGACAGCATTAGTGGATCTCAAAATAGCTGTGATAGATATGAAGGGGAAGGGGTGCAACAGAAGCTCACAGCAGAGATGTAATGGACCACGCCTTCCAGCTGTTAGATAGCTGGCCTTGCTGAGTATTGTCTCGCCTTGGATGGCACTGATCGATATTGTGTGTGGTAGTTAACGAACTCGAGGTGTTGTGAATCCTTTCATCATTAGTAATTCATGTTGTTGTTGTTATTTCATGTAGAACTGCAGGCGACTTGTAGCCGGAAGAAGCTGCAGATCGTCGCTGGCAGATGTAAGCAGCAACCAATAATATGGATGAAAGTAGCAATTTGCTACAAGTAAGCCGTTAGCATGGTTTCTTCTTTTTCAATAGACATTTTTCCAGACTTCGGCGCTCAATGCTCCAGCAGCCGATGAGCACGAGGATAATCCTTCTGATAAGAATGTGGTGATTATTTTCTCTTCAAAACCGTTGCCTGGGTCAGCTAGATATGCAAAATTTTTGACTCATTTTTGACTCAGGATTCTGTCGTTTGACTGAGTTGATCATAGAAGGTTTATAAGGGGAACTGTGTATAATGTAGCATGTATGATATGGAGGTAATGTACTGCAGTGGGCCTTCACCGTGGTTATTTTTTCTGACAGTTCCTTCAGGCTGCGCCGCAAGAACCTCCGGCATCCAGTGAACACGACTTTGATCCTTCTGCTGAAGATCCTGCTGCTGATCAGGTGAACTTCTTGTTCAGAACCCCTGTCTAGTTTCAGCTAGATATGCTGCAGACCTTGTGTTTGGGATTCTTTCGTTTCATAGAAGCTTAAATTTCTCACATGATAGGACTCTAATGGAGCGCTACTGTGGTGTGGTAGTATATGATGCAGAGGGAACGGAAGGGGGGAGGGCCGCAAGAGCTTGCGGAAATGGTCTTTTTCGGATTTTTTTTTGGATTCACCGCACCGCTCTTCGATAAACGAGTGATGCAATGGTAATCCTACTTCTGCTAGCCTTGAGGTGATCATTTTCTCTTCAGAATTCTGCCTGATTTCAGCTAGACGTTCTCCTTCTTAGTGTTTAGCGTATATCCTCCTCTTTGACAGGCTACGCTTTTGTCGAAGCCTGGTTGTAGGGAATCCCATCTTTTTCAAAGCTGTAGTCAGCGCCGTTTACAGCGTCCTTAGGACTTTTGAAGGGGGAATTCGAAAGGAAGATGCCCCTTGCGAGCGGTGTGAGTCTTTTCGCGAAGTGCATAGCCGTATCATCAAAGTGCGTCTCTCGCATCTTGTCAGTTGTAGGAGCTGTACCGAACTGTCTTCGTGTCCATCGTTTGGAATGCGGCTCAAATTTGTGACGTTCGTCTTCCGACGCAATATCTTCATCTCCACCACACTGAGTCGGGTTTCAACCTCAGCACTATACGAGGCCTTGTCGAACGGCACTTCTATACATCGGCGCCCTAACATGTTCTTGTCGCTGAGAATCCTTGGCACTGATAGCCGATTGACCACACTGCACTCACTCAGGGACTTTTCGTCTAAGACTTAACTACTAGTCCGACTTCAGTATGTTCGTAACGCGTGAGCTCAGTGCCATCATTTTGATGAAGCCCGTCTTGCTTGGGTCGGTTGTCGACTACTCGGTCTTTCTAACGTTCGATCAGAGCCCAAACTTTGCTGAGCGATCGTCCCGAGTTTCACCTGTTGCCAGGTGCGCTTTCTTATCTTCGCAGGCAAGCATCACACAATCAACGTAAGGAAGAGCATAAGTAACTTCTTTGTGGAACTCTCGTCAAATGGGGTCTGTGACGGAAACAAAGATTGGGGAGATCGCGGAGCTTGGCATACCATGATTCTGATGAAAAACCCCATCAAAGTGCTTGCGGTGTCCGTCCTCAAGACACTCCATCTATTAGCCCTCTAGGAAAGCGTGCTGTCGTGAGGCGTATAACTTCACGCCAAACGCCATCGCCATGTGTGACTCTCGATAAACCTTGGCATTGTGGTGATGTGATGATTGTTGCTTAACTCCACACAAGGTTGGCAAGAAATTTTATTTGCTGGCCGACGTTTCGGTGAGTTCACCTTCTTCAAAGCCTGAAAGGGTGGAAGTTGATTCACGAGTACTCGACCAAATACCCAACATCCCCACGTAGACCTTCGAGCCTCCCCCCTTTCATCACGTCAACAATAGAGAGAGAAAATCATCGTACCTTCTTGAGACACTAGATCAGTCACGGCTAGCACAGACGGGAGGTATCTCGGACAGATCGCATTCAGAACCCCCATTCAAAAGGCTAACCTTATATAGGATGCTAGCTCCCGCGTTATTGACAAACATTCTCCCCTCCGGTTCATTTTTGGACCCACGGCCTGGATCCAAAACGCATCGAGGGTCTTACGCGCGGAAGTTTGCGTCTCTTGCCCCCGAAGTTTGCGTCTCGACCGTGACCCCGAAGTAGGCCCCGTTGTGGTTATTTACCCTGTGGCAACCTAGCGCTGTTTGAACCCGTGACCTGGCCTTGCCCTCTCTAGTGTCTATCTAGATCTAGTGTCTCAAGAAGGTACGATGATTTTCTCTCTCTATTGTTGACTTGATGAAAGGGGGGAGGCTCGAAGGTCTACGTGGGGATGTTATGTATTTGGTGGAGCACTCATGAATCAACTTCCACCCTTTCAGGCTTTAAAGAAGGTGAACTCACCGAAACGTCGGCCAGCAAATAAAATTTCTTGCCAACCTTGTGTGGAGTTAAGCAACAAATCATCACATCACTAAACGCGATCGAATGATTATTCTGGTTAGAAGAGCTCTGGCTTCTCACGATGTTTCTCCAGCGAAAAGCGAGAGGCATATATGGTGTCAACTGTGTAACAACCAGTAAGGCATTCAGACTTTGCGACGGCAGTGCCTCGCTCGCGCCTCGGTCTTCGATCGATGCACATGCTTTCAACTGCATCGATCGCACCGAAGGCGTCACCGAAGCGCTGCCGTTGCTAAGTCTGAACGCTGCCTAACACAGCCACACTGGATGTAGGAAAATTGAGCGATGTCAGGTACAATCGTCGAAAGATTGCTTGAAGATTTCTATGCCATGTGAGAGTTGAAAATAGTGGTTTTTTTGGATATTTTTTTTCAGGCTCCACCGAGCTCTTCCAGTAACTCTGAATGCGACGAAAGTACCCCACCTGATATTAAGGTGATCATTTTTCCTCAGAACTCTTGTCTGATTTCAGCTAGATATACGAGAGAATTTGAGGGAGTCAGTATAGTGAGCAATATACGGTACGGAGGTAAGGGGTGCTGTAGGAGCCTGCAATTATAAACGTTGAAAGTGGTCAATTTTTTTTGGTATTTTTTCAGGCTTCACCGCATCGTTCTTCGCCAGTGACTGGAGGAGATGACGGTCTTGATGCTGAGGTGACATTATTTTTTCTTTAACCCCTTTCCTGACTTCAGCTAATATACAAGGGGTCATGAGTTTGGGATTCTCCCCTTATAGAGAAGCTTTGGCATGTCACGCCAGAACTCCAAGAGTATTATTCCAAGAGTAGCAATGGGTATGAGGGAGGATCTTGCAAAAGCACACGACTGTGGCACGCAAACGCGGTTCCGTTTCCAGGATTCATCGCATCCCTCCTCGACAGGCGGTGGACACGACAGTAACAATGATAGTGAAGACCTTTCCGACGAGGATGATGAGGAAGACGGTTTTGATGGCGATAATAACGGCGACGACGCCATGATGCTAGCTGATTGAACTACAACTACCTCTTACCATAGGTAAGACTCATTAATTTTTGATTCACTAAGTCAAAATCGAACGAGTTTCATTCATTTCATTCAGCATTCATTTCAACTCCGATCCCAGACCTTATTCTTTTGAAAATCGGTTTTCTAAGTGTGTCATCAGACGGTGCTATCTTTTTTTGAAATATGCTCTTTTTCAAATGCATAAGTGAAGCTGTCAGAATTTTTGTGGTGTTTAAAAAAGGTCCGTTATTTTTCAATCTTCGATGGGTCTCAATCTTTTCTTCATGATGATAGTTTGTGAGGGTATTGTCGAAATCTGCGACTTTCTTTTTCCGTTTTGCAGAATGGCTATTTATTTTTGCGTACAAAATGGAACCCAAAAGTCGTAAAGGTAACATGAAAAATAGCGAGCAGTAACGAACTGTTATTTCTTTACGCTGAAACAAGCGGGCTGGTTGACGTGTGCAAGCAGGCTAGATTGGTGAAGGAACTTATGTTCTGCCTGTTCTTCTGTTCATCTCGCATTTATGTGATTAAAAACGCCAGTGCTGATTGTTTTCTCTGAAAAGGTACTCTGAAGTTGTGCTCGTGGACCGCTAGTAATTCTTGTGTCACTTGACTTTCTAGAAATCGTTGCATGCGTAAGCATCTCCATTTTGGTAAATTTTCTGGATCTGACTGAAGCATTTTTTTAATTTTTTTTTTTTCTTCATAAGTTGGGCGATGCGTAAAGCCCTTGGGGTCTAGGGGATCTAGGGAGTCCAGCATCAGTTCGACGACAATAGCCAATAGACTCCCAATTTGCGCTTTACACACCGCCTTCGGGACAGAATTATTGGATTGTTTATGGATTGACTGATTTTTTTGTTTTGTATGGAAAAGGGGACTAGTGCATTCGAATTCCGGTTTTTCGTATACTTGTCGCTGTTTCTTCAATAAATCTTTTTTTGGTAGTGTTCATTCCTCATTATATCCGATCTGCAACTGGCCAAATATGATATGTTCACGTTCCCTCATCTGCTCAAAATTCAATGGGCAAAAAATATTTTGGATTGTAGCAAACAATGCATTGCATTATGACCTCTCTGTCTCACTGGCCACTGAGTGGAGCGTAGTTACGGTAGCGCCTGTTCTTTGTGTGGCCGACTGATTGATAAGTGGTGGGCCTCAAGCACGGGTGGCGATAAAAAGAATGACCTGTCAACACAGCCTGCTTCGAGAGAGGGTTTCGGTGCGAGTCGCCCGCCATTTAGCACGAACCGTTCCAAATCCCACCCTTTAGCGTTACTGCACCACTCTGGAGCATTGTAGAACCTTATCTCGCAAAATCGTCCGGGACTTGCCAAATAACCAAGCGTAATCCTTTCACAAATAGGCCATTTGGAAAGTGAAAACAGATCTGCGAAGAGGTTGCCGATTGTGTTTTTACTTTTGCTTTTTTGGTTTTGGAGCCTGATAAGGGCCTTTTCTTGTTAAAGTGAATGCATGAAGTACTTCTAGTGAGGTAAGAGCAACTTCAGCAATTATAATAGTTGTATTACAAGGGTACCATAGCATAAATAGGCAAGAAGTGGTGTAGTGGCAAGTAGTGGGTTGGCACATAACAATACTTTCGTTTTTTCAACCGGAAATTTCGTTCCAAAGATGAAATGTTTTGCTAGCAAGCTTGATATCTTCTGATAGGAAAATTCACGTAGTTTTGGAATATCAAAACGGCTTCGGTTGAGGGAATAATTTTTGTGGATTTTTTAGTCGTTGAAGTTGAAAGCGAAGCGGCGAAAATTAGCACCTTCGACAACTGCCTCTATTTACGTATAGTCGAAGTGCTAAAATCGCTTAAGCTGCTCCATACATTTGGAAAAGGTCGAGCTAGAAGTTCCACCAAGGGAATCTCACTAGGACGCTTTGGAACGAATTTCAAGAATTTTGAAGTTACCACCTTCACCTAGCCGATAGTGGGCAGCTCACGTCTGTTCCACCTGAAATTTTCGCTATATTTGAATGTTTCGCTGATAGTTTTGCATGTTCTGGTAGCAAATTTCGTGCTCTATAAGACTGCTTATAGAAATCGGTTTTCAGAGGTGTTTGCTTCCTGTTAAGTTCAGGTTATCATTACGGAACGCGAAGTCGTTGAGAACTAGGGTTCCCGTTCTCCACGAATTTTATGCTAACATTTGAATGTTTCGCTAATGTGTTCTATATGTTCTGATACCAATTTCGTGCTCTATAACACTGCTTTGCAGTTATTTTGAAAAATCTGTTCAATGAACCTTGTTTTTCAGGTGATAATATGGAATGTCAGGTCGATAAGCATCAGCACTTCAGACACCTCCTCCTTTTCGCATTCAACAGAGGTATCAGAGCTGCTGATGCTGCCTGCGGAAATTCGCTAAGAGCTGTCCTAACACCAGTCTGTTACTCTAAGCCTTACTCAAACCATGGCGATTCTATTGAGCTGCTCTAGGAGCTTATGAAGCTTCAGTGGACAGCGGTTGAGAGAGGAAGTCGGAACTCTAATTCTCATCGACCTCACGTTCCGTAAAGATAACCTGAATTTAACAGAAAGTAAAACAGCTCTGGAGAACTGATTTTTATGTCATGTTATAGAGCACGAAATTGGCTATAACATATAGAAACACATTAGCGAAACATTCAAATGTTAGCATAAAATTCGTGGAGAACGGGAACGCTAGTTCTCATCGACTTTCGCGCCGTAATGATAACCTGAACGTAACAGAAAGCAAACACCTCTGGAGACAGACTTCTATAGCAGTCTTATAGAGCACGAAATTTGCTATCAGAACATGCAAAACATATTAGCGAAACATTCAAATATTAGCATAAAATTTCAGGTGGAACAGACGTGAGCTGCTCAATATGGGCGAGGTGAAGGTTGGTAACTTCAAAATTCTTGAAATTCGTTCCAAAGCGTCCTAGTGCGATTCCCTTGCTGGAACTTCTAGCTCGACCTTTTCCAAATGTATAGAGCAGCTTAAGCAATTTTAGCACTTCGGCTATACGTAAATAGAGGCAGTTGTCGAAGGTGTTAATTTTTGCCGACTTCGCTTTCAACTTCAAAGACTAAAAAATCCACAAAAATCATTCCCTCAACCGAAGCCGTTTTGATATTCTAAAACTACGTGAAGTTTCCTATCAGATGATATCAAGCTCGCTAGCAAAACATTTCATCTTTGGAACGAAATTTCCGGTTGAAAAAAAACGAAAGTACTTATGTGCCAACCCAATAGAACGCTTACCACGCAGGGGGTCTGACAGATCGAATCCCGCCAAGGCCAAGCATGTCTTCCACCCTCCGGCGACGGTAATTGATACGGATTCGTCTGGAAGGATAAAAACAGTATTTTGTACATTGGCGGACCTCGCGAGTCATTGTATAGACCACATCGCTCACATCAATGAGCCACTGCGATTCTGAATGGGAGTGGTATGCGTGCCGCATCCCAAGAAGGAGATTGGTCGAAGGCGAATACGTTATCCTTCTATTGTCCGTAACATAAAGAAGGTCATGTGGGCTCTAATTCATATCTATGCTGTTTTAAACTCGACTTTCTCGGTGAACCCCGAGAGGGTCGGAGATGCGATCTCGATCTGTCGTCACGAGGACGAGCTCGATCGTAAATCCGAGAACGAGAACGTCGTCTCTGCTCGGGGGTTCATCAGGGAGGCCACAAAGACTTCGATGCTCCCTCCTATCAGCGATGTACGTGTCTCGTGCTAGATCTTTATAAAAGCGGTAAGCTGGTACGCCTATTTCCACAATAGCATGCCTGTTAAGCACGCAGATGGCCTGATCATGACCACCTTGTTTACATAGACAACACCATTGTTCGCGGGGACAAGAAGTTTAATGGTCCTTGAGGCAATTACTACGAATGTGAATTTCCCTGAAGATATTCGCTCTCCCTGAGAGACGTTTGTAGAAATTGCATTCAGCGGAGAAGTATTTCCTGGTTGAGCAGAAAATACATGGCGGTTGCGAATCGTCGGGTTCTGCCTGCGGCGGTGATAGGCAAGGTCCCCTACGGGGTCCTGCCTCGTAGCGCGACATCTGGAAGCTCCCTGCATTCGTAACGGTGCCTCTTCGCTTCACTGTCCCTCGTGCTCCCATGCTGCCCACGGTCACGCTTACGCGTCCTGGAAGAAGTGGACCTCTGTCCACCCTTCCAAAAGCGAGGAGAAGTGAGGGCGTCGGAAGTAGTAGGAGCACGCGATGAAATCGAAGCTGGTTTCTGCGGAGAACCGGATCCTCCAGATTTGAATTGAGGTTTCGATTGTTGCGGTAAGGGCTGCGTTGAGGACTTGGCGTAGTCCGCGGCATGCCTTGAGACTTGATCAATGATTTGCTTAGTTTGCGCATGATCAAGTGCTCGCGAGAAGTTATCTCGCCACCACTGTAAAGTGTGGGCGAGATAACTGCGTTTGATGCCGATAGCTCTCCTGGAAGGGCTTATTGGACGTCCTCCATGGAAGTGCGGGCGTCTGACTCACCTCCTCGCAGGTCTGAGGATCTGCACCGTTTCTATCGCACGTAAGTATCTAGTTAAAAATGCGCTAAAGCCTCGCTCGAGTAAGTAAGGAAGAAATGTGTGCGACCGAAACGTTACATCTCTTCATCGCATCTTGCAACTGTTTGCGGTATTTGTCACCGACGAAACATGGGAAAATTCCCCTTTGGAGAATATCCCGATGGACTGACATAGCGGTGAGACTGTGCACAATTTCTTGTGCCCAAGCGGTAAGTAAAGAAAATCTGAAACAATCGAACGGCAAATCGGTGACTTGATTCGCGAGTTTCTTGATGAGCTCGGCAGCATTGTCCGTTGTTCTACCGAGCAACTCAAGCGAATAAGCCATAGCCAATATGGTCGTACGAAGTTCCAGATTCATCTGCGCGGCAGGCGCGGTGTTGGGTGGCATGTAGTCTTCTGCATACTGCCGAAAAAAAAACGGAAAACTGCAGCAAGCTGCATAGCTGTAAGTTTCAAC